GGGGGGGGGGGGCTGCGTTAATTGTCAGAAGGCAGCTGGCCATTTGTTTTTGGTCAGATAAGCTACCAAAGTAGGACTTGCTGGGATGGGGCGGGGAGCCTTGTGCAGCTGCAGGAAGGGGAGTGGAATCCCAGAGTGGGGCTGGGCAGCCCCTGCTCCCGGGTCCTCCCCTCCCTTGCCCTGTGATAACTCGGCCAGCTGTTAGGGACACAGCTGCTGCTGCTTCTTGGGGAGGGAGAAAAGGCCCTGTTGCCCTGGGTGAGCTCCCAAGCTGTGGAGTTCAAAGCAAACCTGTGCGGCCAGGGGGCTGCAGGGGGAGCTGGGAGGGAGGAGGTGAGAAGTCAGCAAGGGGCAGGGAGAGGCAGGCCCTTAGAGAGATCCAATTAACTGCCCTTTCCTGTCCTCCAAGGAGGATGTTTATCCAGATCCTGATCCACCACACACTTGCTACGTAAATACTGAACCTAAAGCCCACGCGTGCCCCAGGCACACACAAGTCCCGTGTGCTCAGAAGCGACCCCATGGCACATACTAGCCCTGCCCTGCTGTGCACACGGCCACACAGCCACAGGCACAGGGTCAAGCTAGTCTCAGCTCTCCAGGCCAGGAACCAACCTGGGGTGGAGGGCTATTGACTCACCGATTCCAGTGGACCCCAGGCTCTCCTCTAAGGGATTGGGTCTGGGCCCTATTCATCTCGGTCTCATCACAATACCCTAGGAAATCACCCAGGAGAGACGCAAGTCCCCCAGGAAGCCTGAGCAGACTCTCCAGGGCAGACCAGCCCTGGGACACTGGCCAACAGGCCTGCGTTAGCTGCTGGTTTACCAGATGGCTCAGGTTAGATTATTCTAGATCCATTTAGCAAAAAGGTGCCCTTGTTAATGAAGCCTTTCCCTGAGTGTGTTCCTATGGCTACAGTTTACCAGGCACCAAACCGAGGGGGTGCAGGAATGAAAAGCAGGTTCCGCCCAGGTTATCTCTCTCTCTGGTGAGGGCTACCTTCTGAGCCTTGGGGGCATGTAAAGTCTGGTCTTATTTACTCAGTGCTCATCTTTTGTGTTGGATGGATGGGACCTTGCGTGTCAGGCTGGGTGAGGAGGGAGGTGGGCTGATTCGGCTCATTTCTGCCACTGCTGGGGGCACTCAGGCCATCTGGCTCCAGCTGGCTCTTGGCTGGAGACCAGGTCTTATCAACACTCCACCCCTTCTGGCCCCAATCAGTGGTCCCCTCCCAGCCTTGCCCCCCATTTCCTCACATTTCAACCAGCCTGATTCCTCTGAAGAGATTAACTGGTTCTTACCCCCTGTGAGGCACAGAGCCTGAGACCAGGGGATTAAAGTGAGGGATGCGTGATGCACATCCTCTCCCACGGGGTGTCTATCTGGCTCAGGATCCAAGTGGGAACAGCTCCGGGGAGGGACCTGATTTCAGGGCACTTGTACCCTCCATGTTCCCAGCTGCAGAGGACAGGGGTACCTGCATCTTTCTGGCAGAAGCAGAGAAGATCTGGATTCACTGGGGGTCTCGAACTTGGCCTTTATCCTGGAATGTCCTGAGCAGTCCTTTTTATTTATGACAGGGACATCGGCTGTGAGCTGACTTGAGCCAACAAGGTTGCTGCACAAGGCTGAGGTCCCTTCTGATAGGTCAAGGTTGATGAAGGTTAGCCGGTGCCAGCCAAGCTTGCTGTCGGGTTATAAGGACAGTCAGTCATTCTGCCGCCCACACAGGCAGGATGTCTATTAGACAAACGTGCAGGCGAAGCAGGTGCCAGGCAGTTTGTGCCCCGGGTACTGTGAGAGCCAGAGGTTGGGTCCTATTGGGTGTCCTGACCACCACTTTGCAGACTGCCAGGATTCCAGAGGCTGGGTCCTGTCAGTTCTCCGCTGGCACCTGGCAGCCAGGGGCCCTCCTTGGGAATGGCCGGCCACAGCGCTGCTTCTGGATCAAGCTATGTTGAGGGTTTAGTGTAGACTGTTTCCTGGCAGGGTTCTTATGCCCCGTTCAATCAAGAGTGGGGAGTCTCTCTAAAATATTTTAGTCAATCTATTTTTAATTTTCCCCAGGAGAGTTTATTTCAAAGTATATTTCATACATTTCTCTAATGCTCAACAGGTGACAAATGCCTCAATTTAAAGAGGGTTGGAGTTTCTTCTTTGAGAACATAGTGGTTTAGTCCATGGACTCAAGACAGCCTTGGTTCAAATTCTGATTCTGACAATTTCTAGCTGGTTATTTCACCTCCCCGTGCCTCAGTTTCCTCATCTGGAAAATGAGAGTACCTACTTCCTGAAGTTGTCTTGCGGATTAAAAGAGATAATAACAAATGCTACATATAAAATAGAAAATATTTAGAAGAATGCCTAGTGCATAGTAGGGGCTCAATGTGTAGTCCTCAGGAGAAACACCAAGGTGTTCTCTTTTGCACGTTGCCTTTAGGTAAAGGTCATCTAAGACCCTCAGGATCTTTCTTATCTTTCTCTCTAGCCTCTTCTCTTTCATCTCCCCATTGCATCCTAAGGCTTTGGCAGTGCTTATTTTCACTTTCTTAATCTTCGTATTTTATGTTTCTTCCTCCCGGTCTATGTTCCCTATTTTTTCTCTCACCTTCTATTCTTAGCAAGCTCCTGTTCAAAGATCACCAACTGGGGGCCCAAGGACAACTTTTTCTTGTCCTGCCCTATTAAAAAAAAAGATTTAATTTATCAAATTTACAAATCAGGGAATTTCTCATAAAACCCAGAATTTGAACTTATGTTAAAAAAACCAGAAGGCATGGAAATGCTGGCAACCAGAGACTGAGCCCAAGAGTCCTTCTTTTGATGGAGTGCACTTGCTCTGGTTTGCCTCAGTCTCCACGACTCCCTATTGTCTCACACTGGCTCTTTTACCCATATACATTCTTAGCCTGGCTCTTGTGGGTATTCGAGTTTGGGGCTTCCTGCTTTTAGATCTCTGTGGAAGATTTTTCTGATCAAACCTCCCTTAAGACAGTGGATTCTGGTTTTGTAAGCCCTTTGTGTCTGATGTGAGCAAGACTCACCTCCTGATTTTGCATCATCTCACCCCTGCCCAACTTTAGATGGCCTCCTCCACTCTTGGGGGTGGGTATTTTTTTTACCTTATCGTGTGTGTCCCTCCCTCCTGCCTGCTCAGAGGTCCTGGAGAGGTGGGAAGACAGGGCAAAATGAGTTTCTATAGGACTGTGCTCATGGCATCTATCAGCGGCTGCCCCTTTCCCTGCCTCCTCCTATTGCTGTAACTTCCTGTCCCCACACAGCCTTACAGAAACCTCCTGGTCCATGCAGGGCATAAGAGCCTGAGGACTGAAATGCCCCCCTGTTCCCTTTGCATAGTACTTCACACACGCAGTCCTCTCCATGCAGACTCCTCTTTCCATTCTCTCCCTAACTCATCCATTCACTCACCCACCCAACAACCATTTAGTGATCACCTACTACGTGCCGGGCACTGTGTTAGGTGCTTGGAGCAGAAGAAAAGCAAATGGCAAAACCAGAACAAAATTCATCCTGTGACCTTGGACATTAACCTTGTTAGGCCTCAGTTTCCCTGCAGGTTTAATGACTTGATTACAGATTCCTCTGTCTGGGGTTTCTTCCATCCTGCGACTGTTCCTGACTATAAAACTTCCTATGCTGTCTGCTAACAGCTAAGAATTCTAGAGAAATCTCCCTATAACTGTGTCTGTAAAATGTAAAAGCTCCCAGAGTGAGTACAGTGAAGCCTGGTCTGCAGGGAGAGCAGGAGTGGAGGGAGGGTGGGACAGACCCAAGGGGATAGACTGGCCTGCCGGGAGGCCTTGCCAGATACTCAGACCCTCCTTCGGAAATCTCACACCCTTCTTGTCCCCAACCCACCCTGGCTCCAGCTCAGGCTAGGTTTCAATCGGCATAATTTGCCCCACTTAGAGAAGATGGGAGGGGGTGAGAACAGGAGGGTGGTGAAAAACTGAGGAGTGGGGGGGGGGGCGGCACTCCAAGGTCAGAGGAAATCAGAGGGACAGAGGCGGGGCCAGGAGGAGAGTGGGCTGCAAGCCACAGATAACATTCTGCCCAGCACGGCAGGGGTCAATTTGGTCCACTTGCCCAGTGACAAGAAGAAAAAAAAAAAAAAGTGGGCTGTAACTTAAAGATCTTAAGACTCACAAGTGAGGGGCTGGTTTGGAGGTGGGAGGAGGGAGTGACCAGCGTCAAGGAGGAGACAGGCTCAGGAGGGCGCAGGAAGTGTCTTAGCAGAGGCCGGGGCAAGGCAGGAGAGGGTGGAGGGATCCGCGGGAGCAGCATCCTCCGGCCCTGGTCTGGGATCCAGGGCAGCTCCTCCCGCCGCTGGGAAGGGCTCTGGACACCTCCAGCTCTTCTTGTCTGCTCTCCAGGGCGTAAGCCAGAAGCTCCAGGCGCTTTCTTGCTGGGCGGGTGACAGCCACGGAGCTGGTTCCCCGGGCGACCTCCTGCCCGTCTTTTCTCTGCCCCCCAGCATGGAGGAAGGTGGTGATTTTGACGACTACGGGGCAGACAACCAGTCTGAGTGTGAGTACACGGACTGGCAGTCCTCAGGTGCCCTCATCCCTGCCATCTACATGCTGGTGTTCCTCCTGGGCACCACGGGCAACGGCCTGGTGCTCTGGACCGTCTTCCGAAGCAGCCGGGAGAAGAGGCGCTCGGCCGACATCTTCATCTCCAGCCTGGCGGTGGCCGACCTGACTTTCGTGGTGACCCTGCCGCTGTGGGCCACCTACGCGTACCGGAACTACGACTGGCCCTTCGGCACCTTCGCCTGCAAGCTCAGCAGCTATCTCATCTTCGTGAACATGTACGCCAGCATCTTCTGCCTCACCGGCCTCAGCTTCGACCGCTACCTGGCCATCGTGAGGCCGGTGGCCAACGCGCGGCTGAGGCTGCGGGTGAGCGGGGCCGTGGCCACGGCGGTGCTGTGGGTGCTGGCCGCCCTGCTGGCCACGCCGGCCATGGTGTTCCGCGCCACCGCGCCCACGGTGCCCCCCAGCCTGGACAACGTCAGCCGGGTGCAGTGCTACATGGACTACTCCATGGTGGCCACCTCCAGCTCCGAGTGGGCCTGGGAGCTGGGCCTGGGCGTCTCGTCCACCGCGCTGGGCTTCGTGGTGCCCTTCACGGTCATGCTGACCTGCTACTTCTTCATCGCGCAGACCATCGCCGGCCACTTCCGAAAGGAGCGCGTCGAGGGCCTGCGCAAGCGGCGCCGGCTGCTCAGCATCATCGTGGTGCTGGTGGTGACCTTCGCGCTCTGCTGGATGCCCTACCACCTGGTGAAGACGCTCTACATGCTGGGCGGCCTGCTGCACTGGCCCTGCGGCTTCGACCGCTTCCTCATGAACGTCTTCCCCTACTGCACCTGCGTCAGCTACGTGAACAGCTGCCTGAACCCCTTCCTCTACGCCTTCTTCGACCCCCGCTTCCGCAAGGCCTGCGCCTCGGTGCTCTGCTGGGGCCACCGCGGCTGTGGGGGCGCCTCGCACAGCAGCAGCGGGGAGAGGTCGGCCAGCTACTCCTCGGGCCACAGCCAGGGGCTCGGCCCCAGCGCGGGGAAGGGCGCCGAGCCGACCCAGGAGAAATCCATCCCCTACAGCCAAGAGACCCTCGTGGACTAGGCTGGCACCGCGGAGCAGCCGGTGCCCTGTGCCCCGCCCAGCCCCGGCCCTGCTCTCCCACGGGCAGGTGGCGGAGGGCAGCTCCACTCCTTCAGCCCTTTGGTTTCGGTCAGGGCCGCGGTGGGACGGAAGGAGAGCGAGCCCTGCGGGCTCGTGCTCGGCCACTCGACATCTGCGAGACTGACTTTGCACAAGTCCCTTAACTTCTTGGAGCCTCAGTTTCCCCATTTGTGTAAAATGAGGGAAGTCGTACCGGCCCTGAAATGATGGGTGTGTCTGGCTCAGTAAGAGCTGGTGTCCCCCATCCTTTGTCCTGGGACCTCCAGCTCTTTTTTCTCCCTCCCTTCCGTTTAGTTTTCTCTAACCCCCTCCTCCCCTTTCCCCCTCTGTCTCTGCACCCCCCCCATTCCTCACCACTGGCTCCCGCCCCTCTCCCCTCGCTCATCCCTCCCCTCAATCCCTTCTTCCTCATTTTACCTCCTCGCGAGGGGCTCCTAAGGGTTAAGAGTCTCAGAGCTTGTAAACGCGGCCCATTCACGCTCTTTATCCTGTTCCCCAAGAAGCCAAGAGACCCG